GGCCGCTGCGCTCGCGCGCTCCGGGCCTACCGCTGCGGTCCCTGGGCGCGAGCTGTTTGTGTGGAGTCTTTTCCACCACCGCCCCCCTCTTCTAGAGCCAGTCCTCGCCGTCCTCGGGCACCCCCCCCCCAATTCAGTCAAAACCCGGACTGGATTTATATCCTCTACCCACAATCTCCAAAAATCTTGTGGCTTCCAAGCTGTTGGCTCCAAGGCATAGGGGCAAATGCTTAACCTGCAGCCCACGATTTCCTCTGGAGGGAAGAGGGGAGACTTTGCTGGGAGAGATTGACTGGAAGTGGTTTTGGGTGGATTACCTCTGTGCTTAGGGACTATACTGGAGCTTGTCTGGGCTGGGGAGCCGAGCGGTGTCAGTTGGAGGTTTGGGTCCATTCCCTCCAGAAATCACAGTCATTAAATTGTTTGAGAAATCTGTGTCATGACATTGTCTACCAACTTTTTTATTTCTTTGGACACAGCATACCAGGCCTTGCCTGTTGAATTCTCAGCACTGGGCTAAATGGGTCTTTGAGCTTTTATCTTCAGTATCTTATAGTAAGGGCTGATGCCCAGAGCACCCTTTGCACTCATTCTTCAACCCAACCTGTCCTGTTTGCTACCATGGCCCAGGCCTTTGGAGAAGCAAATAAAATTAGGGTTCAAGACTGAATTTGTTATGAAAAAAATTAATATGAGCCAAACCCTACACCTGGAAATTAGCACATATCCAGTTTTCCCTATAATAAAGTACTTTTGTCACTTTGGGAGGATTTTTAGGTGTGACAAAGCAAACCTAGATTGCTATATATACACTGTTGTTAGGGTGAGGCTATATAGTAACTGGTGTTCTTTGCATTCAAATCATGCTCTAGAATTTACTCTTTAGTTTCTCCATCAATGTTCTGGCCACCACCTCCATGAGGCCAGTGTGAAAGCTGCCTTCATGCTTGGATAATTATTGGCAAAGATTGTTGTTGTTGTTGTTTTGGGGATACTGGGGCTTGAACCCAGGGCCTAAGTGCTGCCCCTGAACTTTTTTGCTCTACTTCTGGCTTTTTTAGGTAATTAAAGATAACAATCTGGCTTTGAACCAAAATTCTCAGCCTCCTGAGTAGCTAAGATTATAGATGTGAGCCACTGGCACCAGGCTATTGGTGGAGATTTAACATCAGACACCCTTCAGACATTTGAACATGGTTCATTAAATGCTCACTTTGAGTGTCTTCTAGCTGTTGAAGAGGGGACTATGACAAAGACTCTAAAATGAACTTTTGTTCTCCCTGACTCAAATTATCTTTCTGATAGACCTATTTCAGGTAATGACATTCACAGTATAACCATCCAGTCCCAAAATAGAGGCATTATTTTAACTCTCTTCTCTACCTTATCCCTAGAGACAGTGGCCCACAAGTCCAAACCTTGTTTCTGATTGAAATGCCTTCTTTTTTTTTTTTTTGGTTGGTCGTGGGGCTTGAACTCTGGGCCTGGGTGCTGTCCCTCAGCTCTTCAGCTCAAGGCGAGCGCTCTACCACTTGAGCAACAGCGCCACTTCTGGTTTTCTGGTGGTTTATTGGAGATAGGAGTCTCACGGTCTCTTCTGCCCGGGCTGGCTTTGAACCGGGATCCTCAGATCTCAGCCTCCTGAGTAGCTAGGATTACAGGCGTGAGCCACCAGCGCCCGGCTTTGAAATGCCTTCTTTTGAATTCACCCCTTCCTTTCCATTCCCAAAGCTCTTCCGGCACTTCCTGAGCTTCTAGAGTGAAAGTTTCTAACAAAAACCCTTTTACAACAACACATCTGCTAATGAAGACACTACCACAGGATTCATGTTGTCTAAACCCCATCAAATCATGATCCTTTCTGATTGAGCTTTTCATGTGTGAATATTCTGTTCAGGAATTCAGAGTCCTATAAAAGGCCTAATATACTAAATTTATTAGTAACGTATACCTAAACAACTTAGTCTGGGATACTCTTGAAAAATACCAAGGTAACTCTCTTTTAATAAACCCGGAAATATTAATAGCTAGCAAAATGTGTTTATATAGCTTGTCAAGAGGCCATGGTCAGGCCAAGATAATGCTTTTTGTATCTGAAGTTGTTATAGATGAAAGAAAGTAAATGTTTTCCAGAGAATTGAAAGTAAATGCAGAGTTAAATGAATCAGTGATTGGTATTTGTGGCTTAATGGAGGATGGCACACTCTTGTACTTTCTTCCAAAACTGCCATCTACATTTAGAAATCAGTTTGTTCTTTCAAGCTACTTCAGCAAAGCCCACACACATCCCTTCCCTAACCACATATAATAGATTGCCCTGTGACTGAAGAAAAAAAAAATTGGTCTTGGAAGTCAGACTATTAAATGTCACGAAAGAAGCTTTGAGGGGTGAGAAGGATTTGGATGGGCAGGGCAAGCAGTAACAAGTAGGCAAGGCACAGGCCACTGAAGACCACCAAAGGAAATCAAAGAACATTTAGTAGGAAATAAAGTCCAATGAGCAAATTCGTCTGAAGTCAAGAAACTGTTTCTTAGTCAGGCTCAGAATCCACTTCATTCATGATAGCAGCTGAGAAGTCAAAGTGGTTCAGAACTCAAGAAATATCTCCTGGTGCCAAGTTCATTGGGAAGGGTCACTGTAGCTTCTTTTCCCCACAATTCTTAAGTAGAATGCTATCTAGCATTCTATTTAGCATCAGCCTCCAAACATGACCAGGTGAGCCTCTGTGTTTCCCAGGGCAGTCGGTTTCAACTACACATCTAAAGTATTCCATCATTCATTCCACAGGTATTTGTTGATTCCTGCCAAGCATCAGGCCTTGCACTTGGCACTGGTGTGCAACAGTAATCGAGACAGTCCTCCTTGGGAGGAGGGAAATACACAACAGCCAAAGAATAAAAGTGAAAATTGGATTTCATAGATGCAATAAGCAGAGAAAACTAAAGCAGAAGAGGTATACATAGAGTTAGAGGATTATTATAGAGATGTGCACTTGTTTATATCAAAACAAACAGGGTTGAGGGTAGCTTAAACCTCAGTGCTGCCAAATGAATGAATGAATGGTGAGAAGTAAAATCTGAGTGAAAACTTATAGCAATGAACTCTGCCTTCTTCTCCTTTCTGCTGTCTAGTCTGTTCTGACGGCAAAGTTTGAAAAAGTACTAAAGAGAAAGGGCAAAGAAGGGTGAGCTTTGGAGTAAATGTACTCCATAACTGTAGAGAACCAGCTGCCTTGTATCTGTTTTCTTCTGATCCTTAGTGATTTTATTTATTTATTTATTTATTTATTTATTTTTGCCAGTTGTGGGGCCTGGACTCTGCACCTAGGCACTGTCCCCCAGCTCTCAAGTTCAAGGCTAGCACTCTACCACTAGAGCCACAGAGCCACTTCCTGCTTTTTCTGCTTATGTGGTGCTGAGGAATCGAACCCAGGGCATCATGCATGCAATGCATGCATGCACTCTACCACTGAGCCACCTTCCCAGCCCCCTTAGTGATTTTTAAACCTTTGAGTTTTGAACCCCAAAGAAATGCAAAAGCATCTGAAAAATTCTTAAAGAAAATCAGGCTCAATTTGATATAATGTCCAACTTTTTAAGATATAAAAAATAATCATCATCACCCTAAATCATAAGGTATAATCATTATCAAGGCAGAAACACAGCAAAAGTTTCACCTACCAGTGATAGATCTTTTGTATCCTAATAAATTTTATGTTTTATGCAGATACTGAGGCTTGAACTCAGGGCCTTTTTTTGCTCAAGGCTGGTGCTCTACCACTGGAGCCATAGCTCTACTCCCAACTTTTTGTTGGTTAATTGGCGAGAGAAAGAGGGGGAAAGCATGGTTATTTTATTCATCAGAACTAAAAAAATCCCCAAAGGGCCACTATGACTGCCCTGGCTGGCTTTAAACAGCGACCTTCAGATCTCAGCTAGCAGTACAGGCATGAGCCATTGATGGCCAGCCCTAATGAACTTTAAATATTGGGTTTTTGATAGTTGGAGTTCTGCTAGCTCCTTTTTAAAACTATTTTTTTAACTTGATGTAAAAACTTGCCTTTTTACAAAGGTTTTAAAAGTCAGATCAGGTTCATTTTTTCACACTTCTGGAAACTTAAAAATGATTTCAGATGATGACTGTCACCCACCATCTGAAAAATAGATGAAGGTTAAGAGAATAGCTCATCCATTACGACCTTAAACTTGAAAGTCTGGCTGAGCCAAGCACAAATTTCCACCCTGACACATATTTCTTCTGTGAGCAATTAAATTCCACTTAACAACACAATATAGTTTTAATATAATTCTTCAGA